ACTATTCTAAGCTCATGGGTTTAAGATTAATGCAATTTTCATGTGACCGGAGCATTTATAAACATGTAAGAGCACATTACTTCATGGCAAATTAAGAATGCTATTAGAGGATTCCACATTTACGAGACACTCTCAGGCATAACACACTGTAGACACGATGTAACAATTTAAGCACTTAATAGCCATGCTATATCGGTGGTAAATAATAACATGATTGTTCATCACATTCCAACTCAACAAGGGCATTCCTGCATGGGTGTATATCAGTTGTTAAAATCACCAATTGTTTCCTCAAATTTTTAATTTTAATTTTAAATTCTATGTCAAGTATATCATGATTTGTTTTTAAGCTCTGGGATGTTAATAAAATATTACTCATTCTGAATTAGGAAAAGTTAAGTCCTGGGCCCACTTGCACAGAACGATCTTAACGCTACAATTATTGTAATTCCTTAAGATCGCGATCTTAGGCTTCGGTTACAATCGCCATCTACTTGCACAAAGCAATTGTAGGCTAAGATTATTGTAAATTACAATCGAAACTTACAATTGGTCCGGACCAATTGTAAGGAGCTAAGATCATTTTAGAAATGGCATTCAAATTAGTGTCTGTTTCACGCAAATAATCAGCTTTACGTTTGGAGATTGCATTTATATTGCATGAAACTGTGTAGTTCGCCTCGACATTTCAACAACACGGAGAATGCACAACTGATTTAACGTCGGATACATTTTTATTTACTGTAGTGAAACACATAACTATCGAGTCGATATCACATAGTACTATTCCCACCCGATTCAATGTTGGAATAAGTGTGAACCAACATACCTTCTTGATAATCAAGGAAAGGATAATGCGAATGAATGGTGTCCGCGTCGCGATTAACAATGGCGTGACCTTTTCATTAACTCAAGAGCAGATAATTTTACTTTATACGCCAAGATGGGAGTGGTTTCCCTTGGCATATGCCGTTGCCGTACAGTCTCTCATGCCCAATTGCAGAGCTCAACATACTGATATCTCTTTTCGGTCATGGAGTGATTTTGTCTTAGTTTATCATTAAAGTAATCTACAATTAGATACAAGTTAACGTGCAAAATCAAGTTTCTTTCTCATCCATAAATCTAAATTTGATTATGCAATTTAAATATATACAAGTAGTCATCAAATAGGGATATACACATGATGGGGTATTAAAATTTTCTGTTTCAAAGAATTTCACTTTAAGAAAAATATTAATCAGCGCAATAGGGTTAAATATTTAATATACTGTGAATCACGTGTTTAATAACTACTCTCTTGAAATATTATTTAATGCACGTATTTCCCTGCCAAGCATTCTTTACAACACTTCTGTAGCCATTGTTTTATTGTATTTTATTCTAGGTTATATTTAGGATTTTACCCTCCCCCTCCCCCAACAGCTGCGTATTAAACAACGTCTCATTGACAACCATTGGCAAATCATACATTTAGGTGTTATATCATAAGGAAATACTGTTTATATTTGTTATTTTAAGTTCCATAATTAAGTCACTAAATCTAGATCCAAATTTATTCATGTATTTTTTTCGTATTTCAGTATTTTCATAAAACATGGGTAGGTATTTCTGTGGTTGCAATATCACATTCTCAGTTCATAAATCAAGACAGTTAGAATGTAGAAAAATATATGCTATCGTCCACGTAATCGGTTCCTTCTAAGATTTCTCGGACTTTTTCTTGAAAATTATGCAAGGTGCGATTGAGGGAGGTATGTATTGTGTGCTGGGACCAGTATCACTTTTTATTTGCGCAGCATGTTATGCGCACTTTGAGACAACTGTAGACGAGAGTCGAGTTTAAGAAATTCGTACCACCACCGTTGAAGAGTTCGATCTTAACTAAGATCGCGATCTTAAATACACGCCGTCTTACAATCGCTCTAAGATCGGCTTTGTGCAAGTGGATTAGGGCAATTGTATGGTGATTGTAAAGTTGATTGTAGGGGCCTAAGATTGATTGTAACTAAGATTGCTCTGTGCAAGTGGGCCCTGGGCTTAATGTGATGATAATTGACAACATGTTGTTCCTTCTACTGGGCCAAGGAAAGAAAAGATATCTCTCCCCATTTCTCACCTCTTCCTGTCACTATCTATAAAACTGACTACAGTAATAAGTGAGTGTGTTTAGTTTTACGCTGCACTCAGTAATATTCCAGCCATATGCCGGCGGTTTGTAAATAATCGAGTCTGGACCACACAATCCAGTGATCAACAGCATGAGCATTGATCTGTGCAATTGGGAACCGATGACATGTATCAAGTCTGCGTGTCTGACTACAGTAATGAGTGATTGAATATTATATATGTGTGTCAGCATGTTTCATTTTAAAATAACTTGTAACAGTATGAGTGATGACTTCGAATGAGATTTAAGGTTAAACATACCCACTCTGCTAACATACAGAACTGATTCCTGGTCAGTTTAGCCTTTACTTACAGATATTCACCCTCAATGGATGAGTGAGGAACATTTCATACCACTCAATCAATTTAACATCTATAGTGGAACCACCCTTGGCCTAAACCCAAATATCTGGAAACTTTGCCTGGCCATTAAGCAATAACATCAGCAATATACAAGAGACTTTGCAATCTGATTATGTAATCATGACTACCTCACCCATGTATTTTACTTCCAAATGGACAAAATCAGTTTATTTCTATTTCATCACTACATCTGACGTAAAATGATACAAAAAACCATCTTTGAACAACTGTTATTTTAAGTTACACTCTCATCAATCTAAACAGATTTGAATTAATTTTCCTGCCTCCTGTATTATGGCATATTGACATTGAAAGTCCATAAAAACCAGAAAACAAATTTGGCTGGCTTAAGAATGATTAAAACCTAATCTCAATATCACGCAACAATATGTGCACAGAGGTATCAAATCGGAGTAAAACATCTAACAGTGATTGCCTCAAATGTGGCAGCATTAAGGCTTGGCTTCAATGTTTATTCACATCTGGGTAAAAAGATGGACGTTTCACTAAATATAAAATTATATTTTGTAAGGAAAGTTCACATCCAAACATGCAGACTGACAAAAGGACAACATACACTCCAACTGCATACAAGATATAAATTATTTCTTCCACTCAGTGGCCATAACAAATAAATTACTAGAATTTCAGCCTCCCTATCCACTTAAAGCTAAGACTGGGTGTTACCCCATTCTCTACTTGGTGTTATAATAACAGTCACAGGGGCGGATCCAGGATTTTGAAGAAGTGAGTGAGTACTGTTTTACGCCGCTTTCAGCAATATTCCAGCAATATCACGATGGGGGACACCAGAAATGGGTTTCACACATTGTACCCATGTGGGGAATCGATGCCATGTCTTCAGCGTGACAAGCAAACGCTTTAACCACTAGGCTACCCCACCGCCCCTATTCCTGATTGAAATGAACATCAAGTTTGAACATAGATCTATCCGAAATAAAATTTCAGGAAAGGAACTATGATTGATATATACAAAATCATGACCAAGAGAAATTCGGTGCTAAGTGTTAGAGATACAGACTGAGAGATGGAGGCAAGGGTAACTCTCTTAATGACATTATGGGTCGAGGGTATATAATCTGACAGACATGGACAAAGAAGGATATAAACAAGGGAATGACTACCTACCCAATCAAAACAGACAAAGAAAATAAGAGCTACACAAGTCTAAGAATATGGTACTTAAAAAATAATTGTTCAAATCCTCATTACACAAACAAGTATCAATTTGCATCGGTACATGCCGCATATGAATGTACTGATACTTAGATGAACTGCTACATATTTTGATATTTGCTGTATTGGTATTTATGTAGGATTTACTACGACATAAAAAATATTAATAATTTATTAGCTGGTTTAAAAACCAACATCAAAATGAGAAATGAAAGAAAATGGACCATGTTCTATGTTCTACACTTCCAAAACATAAGGCATGCTCCACTTGTTAACATTCAACAGAAACAGCAACAAATGAACAAAAGAAGAACAAATTTGTAACAAATTATCTCTGGTTAGTGGCTCATTTCTCTTTAGAAATATTCCAGCACTATCATTGTGGGACACTGTGGTATCACAAAATGTACACATGAATCAAACTCAGACCTTCAGCATGACAGACAACAGCTTGAACCACTGGGCAACTCTGTTTTCTCTGGTGACATCACTCAGTGAAAATGTCAATGTTACTTGGACTCTTTTTTTCAAAAGTTTTCAGCTATGTCAATATAATTTTAAACCTACTAAAATTGGTTGTGAAAGTATAGGTTGAAAGGAATTCCTCTACATGAGCTTCTGATGAACTGAACACAATACCACTTCAATGTCTAATAATAGCTTAAATAAAAGTTCGTCACTCTCAATACTTCAAAAGTATTTTACAATTACAACCATTGTCCCAACTAGAGTAACTGCTGTGTCAAAATACCACGCATCAAAAAGGGCAATCTCATTAAAATCAAATCTTTTAGCCAAATACCATACCTCTAAACATGAAGATCTCAAAAACCTCCACAGGTCGCATCATGTGAGCTTTATTGTCAGCTGACCAGTCCAGGCTTCTTAATTTTCAGTTATATAGGTAAAGCATTCAAAGGAGATCTGATTTTCATATCTTGAAAATGAAATTAAATGGTGAGTACCTGTAAAGCCTGTCATTATACTGTGGATATTTGGTATCTTGTTTCTGGGTGCTAAGGCATTTACACTTAAAAGGGATGCCTTGAAAGAATATTTGTCTCCCATGTGGGATCTGATTTTAAGGAGATTGCAAACACATCACATTTATTGATTTCATTATTCAACTTAGATATTTCTTGATCTGTCCATATCAAAGCCAGTCCATGACACATTTAAGTTGTCCTTTTCAGAATATTTCTGTCACAAATAGATATTGCCTTCACTTCTGTATACGTAACATAATACATCCAACCTATGATGCTGGCAAGAGTATATAGTTCATATATCTCTTCTCTCAGAATATCAATATTTACAAATTAGTATATCAAAGCTTGAATAACATTTACATCCCTCCCTCAACCTTCATTATGAATAGACTGCTCCGGCTCTGTGGGTAAGGGCTATTCTATTTCTCATGAAGGTACTCTGGGTACGCTGGGTTAAAGGTCTTAGTCCTTTCTCACTTTTGTTTGAGCACTGATGTAAAGTGTTCATTAATGCACCGAGGTTTTATAACTTAACAAAATGTGGTTATCTCCCTTTGCAGAGGTATCACCACATGCTGTAGTCAAAATCATCGCCAGCAAATACGTAAAAGTAGCCCAATATTGTGAGAAACACAATCACATTCCCAGACAGCACCAAGCCACACGCTCCCCACTGAATCTGAAACAAAGGAAGGCGTCCATTAGATCTCACATTCCTTGCCAAAATCTGGCGTTGGTTTTATGCTACACGGAACAGTACTTCAGTCATATGAAGATTGGCCAACTTAGAGCTGAGGAGAGCCCATATATACTGCTAACTGGTATACTAGTAACACTTTGATTCTATAAATACAACTTTGATTCTAACCTAAAATCAACAGATTCTGACACAACCAAGGGACATAACTCACAGCAAATGGTAGTGCCAGACACCACAAGTTTAGTGGGAAAGCAAACATGTTTCAGACCATCAATAAATCAGAATTCCTTCTTCTTGTCTGTTATTGTTACACATTATGTCAAACGTATATGTTTTGTAAGTGTGAGAAGTTAGCAAAACACATCTTCAAACAGCATGGTAGCTTATCATGAGAGGACACCATGAGGTGAAACCATTGAACATGGCCGAAGATTAGAATGAAGATAAATCTATGATTAAAACACATGACCAATGGATCCTGTGACAGCCAAGGATTAAAACACTTAAGGCATGACAAGGCACTTTGGACAGATGGTCAACTCGTGCACCCAAAAGGGAATAAGTGACTGAGCATGCTTTTAGACCACTTTTATCAATATTCCAGCAATATCACAGCAGGGAAACCAGACATGGGCTTCACACATTGTACCCACATGGGGAATCAAACATGGGATGATGAATGAACAATTTAACCAGTGGACTACCCCACCACCCGAATGATCCCCTAAGGGACCGTTCATAATTCATGGCTAGGAGGGGTGATGATGATTTCAAGGGGGGTCACCCATTTTGTTCTGGGGAGGTATGGGGATCATCAATTTTTACACACATGTACTTTTGGGGGTGGGTGTGGGGGGTGTTGTCAGCAGTTTTGTACATAATAATTTCAAAAGAATTATGGGAGGGGGTGTCATTGATTTTGTACATGACATGCAGGGAGGTCACTGACTTCATACATAAAGTTTAGAGGGGTATCATCCACATTGTACATGCTTCTCCACAAAAATCATCATCACCACCACCCCACTAGCCATAAATTTGGAACTGTCCCTACAAAAGCTAAAATCCAACACTCACAATCCCAGTGTGTGCCAGTATGACAGGTAGCCCTATGGAGGACACCACGATGCCCGTCGTGACGAAGATACTCAGCTCTGTACATGCACTGCTTGCAGAGTCAAAACTGCTGGCCAGTCGTCTGGCAATAACTGTCGGTACTGGGCACAGGCAGTAGAAGAACAGCACAAACATAGGCCACCAGTTGCTGTAGTGGGGAAAGTGACAGTTAATATGACGAGTTCCACAATTATCTCTTGGAATGGCTGCATATCACAGCATGTCAGCTGATGACACGCTTGTATCTTAGATCTTTACCACTTCAAGGAAACCAAAGCAAACAGTTAGTACTTGAAAGCATGCCAACTGTACATGTAATGAGTTAGTGATCTGCAAAACAATGACATTCAATCTTCAGTATTTCAAATATTTAAACATTTGAACTGAAATCAGCTCTCATACTGTTGATGTAAAAGCTCAGGGATTTACCTGGAGTCCTGTATTTGAGGGTCCCTGGGACTCATACTCTTATTTTTCAGGGGTCCTGGACTACAAAATGGGAGTCCCAGACACTTCAATATTATTAAGATCCTGTTATTTTATTGTCTATCATGATCATCACATTGTTACAGTAATTAAATTACAAATGATACCATAACCCAGCTAGTAGCAAACTCAGTATTAACTTATTGTTACTTGAATTTTACAAAAACTATCTGGACTTTTTCTGCGTCCCTGTGGATGCGCTAATAAAGTTTGTTGCATCCAGGGCTCCAGATAATTTTTGAACACCAGGAGTACGTACTCCTTATTTTTTCAATATAGGAGTACTGGAAAACCTTAAGCCAACATTTAGAGTACTGAATGGCATTTAATGGCGTATCAGTAATCTTGTGTTTCGTTTCATATATGCACCACAACATTGCTAGTCTTGTGTAAACAGGTCAATATACAATAAAACAATACTTTTTCAGATAAATACGTCTGTAAATGATTCTAAGACCGTACACCATTGCCGTGGTGCGTATCTGCTACGTTTTATAAATTATTTCCTACCGTATCGTGCAAATTTTTTATCCGTACATACGCCGATACGGCCCTTATCTGGAGCCCTGGCATCCATTGTCAATTTTTATGAGTATAGGACGCAGGAATTTGCGTCCTGTAAATCCCTGAAAGCTTCTTAAATACACAACACAGAACATATGAAATATGATTTCCAAAATAACTTTATGTATGAAGATCATAATCATATCACTACTTATTGCAGCCTCGCTAAAATCTCATCCAACCCGTATCCGTAAACCTATCTGCATGAAGATCTAAAGATGCCTCCACAAGGGGTTCCATCAAGTAAACTTTTTGATCAGCCAGTTGTTTCTAAATTCTAAATACATGTGAGAAAATCAAGCTCAAAAGACCTTTTCTGTACAAATATCTGCTGTCAGTGAGATTGAGCTTACTGCACATTCATCAGTCCATATAGTACACGAGATGGTTTACGAATGCTGTATTACACCAGTCAGTATTTCAGCTATATCAAGGTGGGCTAACTGAATCTGGCTCAGGTCGGCCAATGGTTGACTGTACAAGCAACAATCCATGGTCACAAGTGCATGAAGACACTCCATGGTCTCAAGTGCATGAAGACACTCCATGGTCTCAAGTGCATGAAGACACTCCATGGTCTCAAGTGCATGAAGACACTCAATGTCAATCAGCCCTTTTACACATTATAACCATGTGACCATCACTCAGCATTCAGGGGTAAAGATAGAGAATACAATTAATCTTCCCTTAAATACCCACAAGGTTCACTTAGTTTGACTGATGGAAGTGATGTGGTAAACAATACTTACTTGAATTGTGGAAGGGCACATCCTAGAAGTAAGAATGTGATCCCAATTGCTGCAGTGAATGCCAATCCAATCAACCTGTGGAAGTAAGAGGACACACTCGTTATTCAGCAATACTACTGTGCAGGGCAGAAAAACATGAATTTGACAATGGGAATGATTAACATGAGAGAAATAAAACACTGAAAAGGAAATGTTATACCCCCAAATGACCACTGGATATAATGTTGAGATGAGTTTTGCCATGCATCAAGTATAATGGCTACAATCATGCTTGGATGAAGACATGATGAACCACTGCTTCATACCATGATCAGAGGTATTAACAGCTATATCAAGAACTGCATATAATCCAGTCTACATTGGTCTAACAAGTGGTTGAGCAATAAAGCCATCAGAGCTTTATGACATAATCCACAAGGTCAAAAACTGTGACTGCACAATCCCAAATTAAGACACTTCATGATCATGACAGACATGGAGTCCTTTGTTGGTTGTTTAACGCACGCAGCAACTATTCCAGCTATACGGCTGCAGTCTGCAAATAATCGAGTCTGTATCAGACAATCCAGTGATCAACAGCATGAGCATCGATCTATGCAATTGGGATACAATGACATGACTCAACCAAGTCAGCGAGCATGACCACTCGATCCTGTTAGTTGCCTCTTACGACAAGCATGGGTTACCATGGTTACCGAAGATCAAGTCAAACCCAGATCTCCATGGGTTCCTGGGATCCACAAAGACCCAGAATCCCTATGGGGGCTTTATATTAATATAATCAAAAATATACTTACGCTAATCATAGCAACGTCCAAGATAACAGCAAATGAAAAAGAAAACATTTGCAACAAATAAGACATAATCTAAATGACTATCAATGAACACAGAGCAATGTCTAACAGACTGAAACCATTTCAATATGGTTTTTTCTGAATTTGAAATAACATCTAACCATATAAGACTCAGTGATTCCTGTTAATTTAGGACCTTTTGAACCATACAAAATCACTTCCTGGTTCAACATATTCAAAGTTAAATGTTAAATGGTTCTTTATATGACACCAAAACACAAGAATCAAAATGTCTCTTAATTAATTATATAGCAAATCTTTACATTTGACATTTCTAACAATCTCATCAATTCCTTATAATCTTCAAACTTTAAAAATATACATACATCAAACACAGAAACATCTATAAACTGAATAAACAAGATGAATCGATAAAATTGGAGTTGCTGACACAATTGTCAATAATAATATAAATTAGTTGTGATTGTCTCCAGATACCTGATAATGATACCTATGTCATTTCAATGATACACTGAAACAATAGCCCGATCATTTACTTTTCTTATGATGCAAGTTTGCGCTATCCTGCTAATCACAATCAGTTTGTACAAAATGCACATGCTTTCTTCAGGGTTAGTAGAATTTCTGGCTTTTAAAGGGTGTGTCCTTATATGTTATCATTGAAAATATCAATATCATTAATTCACTATTCTGGCTAGTAAATGTTTCATCTAATGCAGCATTGCTGCATAAGGTATCTGATTTTACATTATCAACTTACATGAGCATTGACAATCCTCTATAAAAGTATGAAACTTCAGAACACTGTTTATGATACTGTGATATTATATTTTCTCCCATTTCCCCAATAGAATAAATAGACATACGATATCATAATAAATGTCACTATTACTAAACTCTGCCTTAACATTGACCAATAACTCTATCTGCATTAACAACCAAGATAACATACTTTTGGAAATGAAAAGATTATCTAGATCTGATACAATGTCAAGTTAATTGTCAGTGAAACAACAATATTTTGACGTTTAGTCAGGTGATCGAGCACTTGTCTGTTTACACCCGGGTGGATTCAGTAAAACGGACCGGTGTTCATTTTAAGAATGGTTTCAATCTATAGGTTCTACGTGGCATATCATGGTGTGCTTTCACTTCGACATATTGGAATTAGATTGTAACGGAGCAAGAACAAGCCATGGAATATTTAAACATTATCTGAGAGAAGACTGTCATACCTCTGATGCCGGCCATTTTGTCAACATCATACACACACTGTCATGACGTCATAGATATTTGTGAGTCGAAACTGATATCCAAATATGTTCAAATTTTATAAAACGTTCCTATTAGCCCTAAAACTTGTCTTTGAAATATATTTTTATTCCAGATATCATAAGTAAATTCATCAAAGTTATCTCGAAGGTTCGAGAAAACACGTGAACGGACGCCATCGGCCTGAAAGTGCGTCTCGTGCTAAGCGATTACACAAACGATCTTTCTGACAAGAGTAGACTGAAATGGCTGATGGAGGAAAGTATGTAGAAAACTCTTGTTTATTTTCTTTATCTGTGTTAATTTCTGTGACGTAAACCTTTGGTTTCTGCCATTTCTGTGATTGGATGCAAATAGAAGTTTCCCATGTTTCGTTCAATTTCACTTTGTCATCGACCGGCGTAATTTTCAAGTCGAAGAATTGGTTAAAAGAGGAAAATAAGGTTATTGTATCGTGTGTTTTAAAGACAGCTGCAAACTTTAGGAAAGTTAGTTCAATGAAGCTATTGTAAACAAAATGCTGAAATGTATTTCGTGATGTTCATGCGACGCCTTTGTTTCCAAACGAAACCGAAAACGGGAAAACAGCTGATGAGATGCCCCACATATCATTTGTAAATCGAACGCGACAATGAATAGTTGTTTTTATTCCTGGTTTGATACGTATCCATGGACCAATGTGAACTTTTTTTCTGCCAATGAGTAATGAAGATGAGAATATTTCTTACGATATGAACCATTATTTATACGGATATGACGTCATCAAAACAACGTGTCGGCCCAAGAATGGAGGACGTTCAAACTTGCTAAGTCACGTATGATTCTTATGCGTATATAAAAGTTTGCTTGTCCTCGATTGGGAGCACTTAGAAGGAATTTAAGGGAAGTATAATATTAAAAGGAGAGGCTGGTTGTATTGAAGATGGCAGACAGGTATGGCACAATGAATATGAGAAAAGGTTCATGATGTTGTAAAGACTCTGGATATGTTTTTCATTTTATTTCTAGCATAAAATGACCCTTATGGTATTATAATCTTTATGAAACATTTCTCTCGAGTTTAATTATGTTGATTTTAATAGGGTTTTTAAAAACAATTTTCTAATAATAATAAGAGTACTTTTATAGTGCCTCATCCACATCACTGAAGGACATGCTCTAAGCATGCCAAGTGCATTCAAGTGACAGTTCATTATTACCATGGTTATAGTCACATGACTTATCCCATCGGGTACCCATTTTCTGTGGGTGAACAGAGGCAATTTTGAACAAACTCACGTTGCTTAACTTAAACTGATTTGTGACCTGAGCTCTATGCACAGGACCATACACCACCACCACTAATTGAATCATGTTTCAAGCATATGGAGCGACATACAGACAATTTTGTTATTTTGGGAAGAGTTTCTTTTAAAATTTACTGGTATGAAAAAATAGAGGCATCATGATGATCATAATTCATTCACAATATACATGATGTATTCCGTCATTAATAGGCAAGTTTTATAGTAATTGCTTATTTATACCTGAAACTTCCAGTTCTCGGGTTCCACATAGCCATACAGGACAAAACAATGTGTTCATTGGAAATGAGCGGCTTAGTGGAAATTTTGACAACCCAATAATTTGGCAAAGCCTCCGTTCAGAATGTATTTTAGAGCTAATGACAAGAAGAATAGTTTGAGGAGATATTAACAGTGTGAACACCTTCAGAAGCAGAAAAATATTTTGAATTCTGTTCTTATTCGTTGGTTTCACATTACTTTTCAACTCGCTGTGCGCATGCGCAGAGCGTGTGAAAACTATCCACTGGCATGCTTCCGGTTTGGTCGTATTTTTATCGATAGCGTAAACACTCCAAAGAAATCAAAACAAATATATAGTTTCATGTCGAATACAACTGATCCCAGTTGATTTATGAAACAGAGGTCGGGATTAGTTCAATAAATAGGTTAAGTTATGTTAACAAGCTCTTGTATAAAGACATCTCACCACCACCGTTCCCGCACATCCCCTGCTCACAACTAAACAAACACATCTCTGATGGAATTGCAACCAAAATAGGACATCAATTATTGAAAAGCAGAGGCAAATGGAAGTATGTACTCAGCTATGAACAGTTGTCACAACGTAAATAATTTTCACAACAACTTTTATTTAGCATGCATTTGCACTATCAATAAACATATGACCAAACCGGAAGCATGCCAGTGGATATTTTTCACACGCTCTGCACATGCGCTCAGCGAGTTGAAAATTAATGTGAAACCAACGAATTAAGAAGATATTAGCAATAATAAAGTCAGGCCGCTCGAACTGGCGTTGATTGTGTCGCAAGTGTGCAGAGCCTGTTCTAGTTATTTGGCAAGTTCGATATAGCACGTCCAATCAGATTGCATTTTGGTGTCACATGGTAAATGTTCACATACAGTTCGTTGAGTCACATTGGCTTTATCTCAGTTTATCATGTATTTAGAACTTGTTTTAGTCATGATATGGATGAAATATTGCTGATGTGACTTTAAATTTACTTTAAACTCACTCACTCATTATCTCAGCCATAGAGCGACGAGAGCAAGTTTTAAACCAATCCCCGATTTTTCACGGGAGGAAACACTGTTCGTGGCTCATTATCTGAGTCACAAAACCCTATGAATATCACAAGCAGGGATTATTCCAAAGACAAAAGATCAATGCTGTGCTGATGGCGATCAGGTTGGCATTTCCGGAAAAGTCACTGATAACTGCTGCTAAGTCTGCTTCAGACATTTTGATTCCATGTAAACAAAATACTGCGAGATATTATGAGATTGACACTAATATCGGCAGATTGAATCGTGTGAGAGGTAGCACATTGATCAGTCGATATTCAGCCACCGAACATGTTGTACAATTATGGAAATAAACAGGTCATTACAAAGTGCCAACCCGTGTGAGTTACTCTTAACTCAGTACAGTGCAAGGCTGTGTACGTTCCCACTGGACCAATGAATATGATAAAACTGAACTTTACCATCACTGAGCATGGAGTGTCCTAGCAATGGTGTTTAATGCTGCCTACATTTTACTGATTTTTTTCCCGCCATGGATTGATACACGTTTTCAACATCATCTTATCTTATTAACTACACCCAGAAATACCTTTGAAGATCCGGGTTAGAATTGGTCTTCAGCAACCAGTGCTTGTCGTAAAAGGCGACTAACAGGATCGGTTGGTCAGGCTCGCTGACTTGGTTGACCCACATGTCATGGTATCCCAATTGTGTAGATCAATGCTCATGCTGTTGATCACTGGATTGTCTAGTCCAGATTCAGTTATTTACAGACCTCCAACATATAGCTTGAATATTGCTTAGTGTGGCGTAAAACAACAAACCAACCAACCATTAACTACAGTATATGTGTCTTACTTGAAGCCACTGTTACAAAGCAAAGAGCTTAGAACACTGATGCATAGTATGCCTTTAGTACATAATATTAAAAAGAACATTCTGTTCTTACAGTGATGATCTGGCTACGGCCATCCTCAAGAGAAAAGAACGACCAAACAGACTCCTTGTTGAAGAGGCAGTCAATGAGGACAACTCTGTCGTTTCACTCTCACAGGTAAGGCATAAATCTGATCAACACAATTATGAAGAAAAACTTTCACCATGTTAACAAGCGTTTTATATTTTAAACTGTCTTCAGCATGCTATGATGGCATCTTTGTTTCTGTCAATGTTCACTGACAGAAATACATCTGTCATGTGACGTTTCACATGGGCATTTCATTGTTATTGTTGTTTTTTGTCTCCAGAAAAAGATGGATGAATTACAGTTATTTCGAGGTGACACAGTACTCCTGAAGGGTAAACGAAGGAGAGAAACAGTGTGTATTGTTCTGTCAGATGATACTGTAGGAGATGACAAGATCAGAATCAACAGATGTGTCAGGAACAACCTGAGAGTGAGACTGGGGGATGTTGTCAGGTGAGTGATCAGCAATATCAGGGTCAGACAAATATTTTTCGGTCCATCTTACAATCATTTGTATGTTAATGGTGACAGAAGTGGTGCACATCTATGTATTAAAGGGCTTTAGTATGTTATTTTGCTGCAGCGCCAAACTAGTCCAAACATATTTCCATTATAGTTTAGTGTTAGCATTTAAACTAATTACTGTGTTGGCCATAATCATCACCCAAGGTGCTTAGAAAACAGAAAAAACAGTAGTAAACTGTTTAAAAAGATGATGAAACTATTTCTTTTCAATAATTACATATGAACCCCTTATGCACTGCTGTTTTCTGTAAAAAAAAATCCATCAAACATGTTTAAATTGGAGATAAGTACAAAGATTTGATATAAATATGGAAACAGTTTTGTAACTTGTATTTTTAATTGGTATAGAAACTGGTTAAGGTGGCTGGAGCAGGGTGCTAAACAGTGAATGTTTGACTTATTTGACCAGATAGCTCAATTTATGGTGTTCCCTGACATAATATTACTTGAATGTTGCTAAAAAGCTGCATAAAACCACACTCGCTCACTTCGTTACGAAATGTTTTTACCAAACTTGGGCTGGGACTATGGGGTATAATAACTTGTGATGATTCACTGACAACATAGGTTCCCAGTAGCTCATGCTTTCAAGAGTCATATCAAGAGCACTGGGTGGTTACAATGTGTGGTGCCATACCTACCTTCATGCTCTTAACCACTGAACTCAGGACCTGATTTTTCCCTGCTGCGATATATAGCTTGAATACTAGTGACTTCTGCTGAAATAATCATTAGACCACTATGAATTGTTATTTAGCATTTTTTGGTTAAACTCTGTTGTGATCATGCTAACAGCAATATTTGTTTTGACATTCAGTATCCAAGCATGTCCAGATGTGAAATA